ATAAAAAGACCAGTAACTATTGGTTTTTCTAGGGATATGTGGAGGATCTATACCACAAACATGGAAACCCATTTATAGGTAGATAAATGCTGAGAGCCAAGGCCGAGTCTGTATGGTGCCTGGCATTTTGCCAACAGTATTGGTTGACAGGCGAGGCATTACTATCCACCTCGGCCGCTACTTTTGAGCTCTCGAGCTACTTTGGAGTTCTCGTGGGGATTCTGGGGGATTCCCTGAGAGTTCCCATTGGTTGGGGAAGTGCAGGAGAAGGGATTTTTGGAGGAGATATTTCCAGTGGCTGGTTCCTGGATGAGCCAGGTGGATTTCAAGAGAATTCCCCGGGAGCATGTGTGAAGTATTTTCTTGCAGTTCAAAAATAAAGTTTGTTCCTGCTTCAGTGGCTCGTGGTTTGTGCCCAGCCAGACTGTGGCAGATGGTGGCCTGTACCGGGAGCCCCAGGACACTCAGGGGTAAGTGACGAAAAAAAGCTGCCCATCCATAGATAGAATGGGAGCAAATCTGCTCGTCCCTAGATAGCCGAGAAGAAAAATGGCCATTTTAAGAAAATGGAGAGGATTGATGCAGTATGTTTGTGTCTTGTTTTGTCTCAGTGTATTGTCTTTGTGATGAAAATATGGAAGGGGTGTTAAGTAAATTGATAAGGGAAAGAGGTACCCCAGTGGAACCAAGAATAGTTAGGGCATGTGTTGACAGAAGCCCAGGAACTCTAGTCAAAAAGAAAAAGAAAGTTCAGAAGAAAAAGGATTATCAGGAAAAAAGTTGCAGCAAAAGGCTATTACTGAATACTTTTCATTACTGGAGGTTGCGTGAAGCCATGAAGCCGAGCAGAGGCTGCCATGTGCTTGAGCCGGTCATGGAGCAGCAAGGACTTTCCAAGTGGCAGCAGCCAGCTCTTCCCCGCCCCTCCCCCTGGGGGAGCTGGATGCCACTGTGAGAGCCCAAATTCAAACCTGACCCGGAGGCACAGTCCCGCAGGCTCTTGCTCCCTGTGCCCAGTGGCAGTTTGAGTCTGGGACACTCCCCAGACTCTCCCCAGGGCCATCTGGGGCTGCCCGGGTCACTGCAGGTGGAAGAAGGCCAGCATCCCTGAAGTTTGATCATTTCCAAGGCCAGTAACTACAATTGTTCTCCCACACCTGGAAGCTAAAGAGTAATGAGCACTATTAAGGCTTATTTCAAATGTAAAAAACCTTGAGATAATGTACTAAATTGTTCAGAATGTTGTTTTCTTAGTGCTTGCTGGAATAGTACAGGATTTTCTTTAGCCATCTGGAGTTCCTGCCTTCRTCCCAGTGCCAGTGAAGATGAAGGTGGAAGAATTTCCAGTGTTGCTGAGAACCAGACAAGACTTCGGATCAAGCTAGCTGCCTGCAGAACTTATCTGGACTGTGATTTACCTGGACTGTGAGTTAATCTATTGAGACACTGCTTTACCTGGACTGAGACAACAAACTGTAATCTACAACAAATTGTAACTCAGTATCTTTGCTAACGGTGTCATTGCTGGTATAATTTTTCCAAGGGCTTCTTGCATGGAGCCATCAATTGGCTTGGTATTGTGGCATTTTGTATCCTCCCCTTCTGCTTGTAGCAGATTGTTTGTGGTGTTTGTGTAAAAACCACTATGGTCCTTATTTAAATTAAACAAAAGGGGGAAATGTTAGGGTCTGTAAACAAGTCAGGATGGCACCTGGCAAAATGCCAGAGGGAGTGGTTTGTGAAGTAAGGCCGGTGAGCCATTAAGTGTGGAGATTCCTTATTGGTTGACTGCTGTATCTAGTTTATGTTAATTAAGATAAGCTGTGTGGAATGTATATATACCCCTCCTGTCCTACAATAAATGGCTCCCACTCCTGCCGTATCAACTTTCACAAGTTGTTCGTCACCCCCCCCCCCTGTTATTTTGCTGCAGCCCGACTGCGGCAGATAAAGGATAATTTTCTCCTAAAATAGTCACCATCTTTTAAAATATTTAATTTTCACTTTCATTATAATATATTCTTGCATGCTTTTTCAATTCCATTGTTTTATTTGTTTTATTCAGTATCAATCTCTTTTTTTTGGGGGGGGCGTACTGGGGATTGAACTCTAGGGCATTCAACCACTGAGCTACATCCCCAGCCCTATTTTGTGTTTTATTTAGAGACAGGGTCTCACTGAGTTGCTTAGCACTTCAAAGTTGCTGAGGCTGGCTTACAACTTGCCATCCTTCTGCCTCAGCCTCCTGAGTCTCCAGGATTACAGGCATGTATCACCATGCCAGGCTTAGATTTTTTTATAGTAAAGTTTGTTACCTTTTTCAGTAAATCACTTCTCAGTAGTAATTTTTTTGAAGAAGATTTTGATGATTCTTGCACAATTATTTTTCAATATAAATGTTAAAAAAATTTGATCCAATTTTTTCTTTTCAAATGACTCTCCATTAAAACAAAATATACAAAACTAAAAAAAATGCTTGAGAACTGGAAAGTTGGATTTACATTCATTGAATATATTTGCACATGAAATATCAACTTACTTATTATCTCTTAATTCAGGAAAGTGCTAATTTTCTCAACTTGTAAAGTGTCTTTTATGTTTTTTAATTGTATTTTGAAACTTCTTATATTTATCTTCAATTGAATTTCTTTCTTCAACTATGTGTATGCATTTTCCATTGAATTTTTTTCATGTGTCCATTTTTTAACCAGTATTCCATATACACAAAAAGGCTATTTGAAAATATAGCTGTGGTCATATAGCTAAGAGTTTTCTTCCTTTCATGGTTTGGTTAATTTGCAGTATACATATAGTACCTAGGCAATGAGATCTTATTTTTTGACTATCCTAACCTTAATACAACACCTAAAAAGATAGCATAATAAAAAGTTTTAATTCTTGAACAGAGTTGCAAATCTTTAAGAACTTCAAAAACAAGAGGCAGAATGTTTACAGAATAATGTATCTTGACTTTTAAAAACTGTATTCACTTACGTATCCATTTATTCAAAATGATCATTGAATACCCAGTGTGTGACAAATTTTGACATGAGAACTTATTTTAGTTAATGGCCTTTTTATAACCTCTAGCACAAAAAGAAAACTCAGTTTGTATAGTCTAAGTGTACCTGCCTTATATCAACCTTATACATAAAATAATCAATAACTACTGGCTCTTAGAGGGGCATTTTGAAGTACAGAGCATGAAATCTCTTTTATGCACTTGATTTTCTCATCACCATTACTCCAAAAGCATTTGATGTCAAAATATTGGTCATTTTGCACATGCCAGGCCTTCTGTGCTCCATCAGTGTGCCACAATACCAAGTCTTTATTCTTCCAATTTCCTCCTTTCACCTCTAACCCCACTTTCTCATGCCCTATATTTGGGTTGGTGAAGCCTGAATGGATGGTTTCTGAGTGATCCTGTATTGTAACTTTCTTAAATTTCACTTGGAAGGCAGAGGTGTAAGTTGAAATATTAAAGAGAAGCATCTTCTACAATTTTTAAAAAACATTTTAAATTATGATAAAATATGTTTAACATAAAGCTTACCACTCCATCATTTTTATGTGCACATTTCAGGGGTATTAAGTATAGTCACACAGTTGTACAACCACCCATCTGTGCAAAGCTTTTTATTGTGTAGTACTGAATCTCTGTTCTGTACTGTTTTTTTTCCAACCCAGCATCATCCCAACCTGTTTTGCATTCTTGTCATGTATCAGAATAGAATTTGCAGCAAGTTTTACTGTGACAATCCCATACATGAATTTACTGGGCTTTGATCCTGTCCCCCCCTCCATTCTTTGCTCTCCCTGGCACTGCACGATCACCTCTTCACAGTCCCTTCATCTTCTCTAATAGTCAGTCTTCTACTCTCAGGTCTTTGTTTTTTTCTCCTCATTTGAGAGGAAACATGTAATGCTTGTCTTTCTGCATCTGGCCTCCAAATAATATGTGGACCTGAAATTCTTACATAAGTCCATATCTGTGAAGCTATCACAGATTGACTCTGGACTCAGAAGCTTCTTCATCTGAATCCATGGAGAGAGAATTCCAGGAAACACCAGCCCAAGCCTCCCTTCATATAAAAAGGACTTGCGGCCAGATCTACATTGGAGTGCAGCCTTAGCACCTGCCTGACTTGCACAGCTGGGCACCTTGTCTTGGAGCCAGTGAAATAGAGGGGAATAAGACATTGATCTTGGATCATTATGTAAGGACCAATTGCTTTAATTATCTATCATGTTTCTTCTGTGTAGGATTCATACTTCTCACTTTTCAATTATTTTGAAATTCTGGAGTCTTCATGTATTGATTAGATAGAATTACTTTCTCCCCTTGGAAGTTTTTATTAAAAAATAACATTCCTTAAAATTGATACTATTTAAGAAGAGAGGAAATAATGATCTTTCCAACAGTAGTTATTTCTTAACTAAGACCAACTGTTCATTTTTTTTTGCCTCCATTTAATGAATACAAATTATGTACTTGGTAAATGTCAGTTACTGCTTGACATGTGGGATACAGTACTGAAAAATGCAGTATCTCTCAATAATGACTTGACCTCTTATTACTTTCTATAATACTTTCATAACTTTTTCGTGGATTACAGTTTGGCCCACAATTGATTATTGCCTGTGCTTATAAAAATCTGTATTAAAATATCCATAACAATGTCTTCTAGACTAAAGAGACACCCTGAGATGCTCTACTAAAGCATTTTGATGATAGGTAGAGTCCTAAGAATAAGGAAGATCTTATAGGTTATGACAGCTGTACTTTAGATTTATAAGAGCCACCTGAAGATTGATGTGCATTTAGATGATGAGGGATGAGCACATAGTTCTGACTTCTGGAAGGAGTCCAGGAAATCATTCTCCACAGTTCAGGCCCTGCCCACCAGGGGGTGCAGTTTCCTAACACTAGCTCACTTCCTGTGTGAATTGCAACAATAGGCTCATCTTTTCACTATGACTTCAACATTCTTCATGTTAAGAATCCAGAGCATTATTTAGTTGACTCTCTAAAGATGGATACTTCTTCAGGCATAGTGACGATGATGCTCTTGATACTTGGTGAGTAAAATGCTTTTTAAAATGGACTCTTTCTTCTATGATGCCAGCAAAGTTTTTAACCTTAAATTTTACTAAGAGTTTTATTACCAAGATGACCCATATCTTCTCTCCCCTAGGAAGAACCCACGGAGACTCAGTGACCCAGATGGAAGGCCAAGTGACGATTTCAGAAGGGGCTTTGTTGACTATAAACTGCACTTACTCATCCACAAGTTACCCTACTCTTTTCTGGTATGTTCAGTACCCTGGAGAAGGTCCACAGCTCCTCCTGAAAGCTGTGAAGGCCAATGATAAGGTCAGCAACAAAGATTTTGAAGCCACATACAATAAAGAAGCCACTTCTTTCAACTTGGAGAAAGCCTCCATCCAAGAGTCAGACTCGGCTGTGTACTACTGTGCTCTGGGTGACACAGTGGCAGAAACTGCAGGGGGAGCTGAGCACAAACTCTGAGCAACCACCAGGGGCCTGGCTGCTGAGTGTCTGCCTCTGGGGTTCACTCTGGTTTCAGCACAGTCAATGGTGTGTGCTGCTCCATTTCTTTTCTTGATGCAAAGTTATACAAATATCCCGAGCAGCAACAGAAGGAGTGGACACCCTCAACTCAGCTCTTCACTAGTGAAAGTAAAAACAAAAGCTGGAAGCATTACTTCCTCATGCAGTAACAAAGTAATTTTAAGGTAAAACCACTCAAACAATGGAGTGGTGTCTTTGCTCATCCTTGCAGACAAAACCCAGACCCTACACATTGTTTCAGGTCACCCTGGCAGACACTGTTGTGGCTTGTTATATTTTTATTGCAACAAATGAGCCAGAGGAGGTGGTATGTGCATAAGGTCTCCCTAACAGAGTGTGGAAGGAAAGGTGATAGGAGAACTAGAGTCCCCAACCAGGAAATCCAAGATTGCCAATAGAGAAGGAAGGGAAGAGAAGACAGAAAGAACAGACCTCTCACCCAGCAACAACGCAGTGAGAGGAAAGGGAATTTCCTCATGCAGATAAGGGTGTATTTTCTTGGTAGCTGGTATTCAAAGGAAAGGGAGGGAGCAAATGCATAATTAAAAAAATGACCCATGGTTAAATGGTGAGTGGTCCTGGCCAGTCACATACTTCAGTTTGCTTTCTGAGAAGGCAAACTGACCCTTGTGAATCATGTGAATCAGTTTGCAGTGCTTGTGGAAGTTTAAACATACATACATTTTTATTCTGTATCTTCATGAAAACCTATTAGAAAGGCAGTTAATAGTCTCCAAAGGGCATAAATCTCTAGGAGAAAAGGAGATGATGGCAGTGATGTTGACTGAATTTTAGAGTGTCAGAAATATAGGAAGAAACTTATGTCACAGGCCAAGGGAATATGGAAGCTGCATCTGATGAGAGAGGCCACCAAGGAGCGACACTTGTGTGCTGTGCCTTCGTGGAAGGTTTAGGAGTCAGAAACACCAATTATCCTTAAACCACTGGAGAAGGTGGTGCTGGTGCTGAAAGGGTGTGTGTGTGTGTGTGTTGAGAGTGTATTTGGTGATTGGCAGAATATCTGTTTTCCACAAAACTTGAGTATCACTACACTTTTTGACTTTTCTTGTCAGACTTTCATTTTTTGTGTGTATAAAATTCATTAGATTATGAATCAGATGGAGTTTCATTTTAAGTCATTTATATTTTCTGCATTTTTTCCATTTGAATCTCTGCCCATTTTCAATATTTTTGTCTCTGATCTTCACATCCACATTTTTCAACCCATCATATATTTACACATCCTCACCCATTTTTTAAAGACTTGAATTTTTTGAGTATTTTAGGTCACAGAAAAAATGAGAGCAAATTATAAAGCTGTCTCACATATTTTCCCTGCCCCTGTTTTGCCCCAGTCTCCCCTAGAGGGGTACACTTGATACAGCAGTGAACTACACTCTCACATCATACCAATGCCCATGGTTAACTATGGATCACCTTATATCATCTGGGTTTGGACAAATTCATAATGACATAAACTTCCCATTATAGAATCATGTAGAATACTTTCTTTTCCACAGTTGTTAGGATAATTTGGGCTCCAGATATAATTTTTATGGGGATATCAAAGGTATGTGAGCCCTTTTACTTAGGAAAAATGTGAATGCACTAAAGTATGAACATGCAAGTAGGATGTTAAAATGTTGAGATAGTTTGCATATATGCTTTGGATTACAAACTGTATTTGTGATCTGTTCCATATAATAGGATATTGAAATTTTACTCTTTGATTATTGTTCTAGGGCTGCCATAACAAATAGCCACAGACTCTGTTTCAAGCAGGAGAGATTTATTGCTATCAGTTCTGGAGGCTGGAAGACCAAGGTCAATGAGTCAGCAGGATTAGTTCTCCTGAGGCCTCTCTCCTTGGCATGATTTGATGCTTCTCATTGAGTCATCACGTGGCCTTCCACCAATGATGTGCAAGTCTGTGCCCAAATGTCCTCTTCTGCTAAGAACATCAGTCATTTTGAAATGCAGCCCAGCTTCATTTACTTAAATTACTTCATTAATGACCCTGACTTCAAATACCATCACATTCTGAGGGTCTTAGAGTCAGGGCTTCAACATACAAATTTTGGGTGGGTCACAACTCAGTTCATAATAACTCTCCAAGCACATGTTAAAGTCTTCCTGATCCAACCTTCTATGATCACAAAATGATCAGACATAATTCTGGTGATGAGATGTCCCTGTCTTCTTCTAAGTGTGTTTCTAGAGGAATTGGGAACATACATTGATGAATAATTCTTAAAACATTCCAAATTATAAAATAATGGAAGTAGAGAGATCAATGATAAAAAAAATCAAAAGCTGTTATTTGGATAACAGGCTTCTTTCTCCTCTGCTCTCTCAAGGTATGAAATTTTCTCATTTTTAATTTCCTTCTTTTCTGTAGCTGTCTTCAATTATTCTTGATATTTTGTTCCTGCCTATTTTCCTTTCTTTCCCAGATTTTTTTTTCTGTCTTAATGCTCTTTTTTTCCCCCATTTTTTAACCTTACTCTGTCTTTCACCCTGTGGTCACAGATTGAAACTCCAGGATCTAATAACATGGCTTAGTAACATGCTATTCTCTGTACTCCTCCGCCACCACCAGAATGGGCCTGCTCATGGGACATCTCTTTATTGGGTGTGGTGAGTTTAGTGCATGTTGATGGGGGATGTGGCTTCAGTCCTTACACAAAGAGGCACCAGGAAGATTTGCATTCTATGTGTTCTGCTTTCTTTGTTGTTTGACTTTATGCTTTTCTCAAGCAGTACATAGCAGTATTTTCAGTTTTGATTCAATCAGATAATCTCTTTTTATGTATGTTTTTTATTATTGAAGGGTATGGATTGAGTTGCTTGGTATACTCTTGGTTTTTCCTTTCATTTTTAAAAGTCTGTTTTCTGTTCCATTGATGAATTTTTCATTAATCAATTTTTAATTTTTTAACATCTACGAAAATGTAGAGACTATTCCTGTTCTTATGTCTCATGAAAACCACTCTCAAATTATATATAATGTATATCATCATAAAAACACTACATTTTTTCCTTGCCCTATATTATTATTATTTTTCTTTCTACAGTGATATTCTACTGCATTTACTCCTTGTATATCCTATTTCTTCCACAGCTCATTTACCTTCTTTAGAATCATCTCAGTGGCTGGTTGGTGGAAACTGCAACGCATTTTGTAGGTTCTATATATAGGACAGTAATTTTAGAGTTTATCAAATGTGCTGAGAAGCTGCAGTTCCAATGAACAAATAAGAAAAGCAATAAAAACAAAAGCCATCCATATAATAATCAGCACATGGATTCATTTCTTCCTCCTATAAGCCATGAAATTCCCACTTCCCTGATACTTTTTCTTGCTGGTCACATAGACCTTCCTTTTAATTCCTCCTTTTCTGTATATAGAAAAAATGGCCACATGTATATAAAGAGGAATGCCTTGCATGGTTTACTGCCATATTATATTTCATAGTAAATAACCAACAACACCTTGAGTGTTCATCAACAGAGGAAGGGTTGTACAAACTAGACAAGCCATGATGTGGTACAAGACAGCAGTAGAACTAATGAAATAAGACCTACAGGATTTATTATTGAGTTCATAAAGCAAGTACAGAAAGCTATGCAAAGGATGTATCATTTTATACCAAGTAAAAAGCTATTAATGAAATACTACATGTTGTCTGTTGATTCACATATTTGGTATAAGATAATAGATCTACAGTGAAACACCTGGGAGCTTCACCTGCAGATTGAAAGATTATGGAAGAGTTGGGGTGATGARTGATGAAAGGGCAGAATTTTAGGAGAAGCTAGAGAGGACTTTGATTGACATATAGTGCTTTATGATTTAAATAATTCCTATATTTATAAATTTTTCATTATGTTAAATCCAATAAAAGTAATCAAAACTATGATAAAGATTTATCCATATTCTCATTTATCCTTCTGATAACAAGGCAGAGGAGAGAAAAGGAAATGTCCAATTTCTTCAGAAGGTTTTTTTTCTGATGGTCCCATGCACATGTCCTCTCCTGCCTCTGGGGTCATGGTTTCAATGTACACTCCTCTGGGTGTATTACACTTTGATTATATTGATTATATTACAGATATGTGTATTTTCTCTTTTCCAATAGACTATAAACTAGTATCTTCTCTCCTTTTAAATATTCTTTTTATTTACTCCCAGTAAATCGTGAATGACTGTTTATGGATTTATTTTCAGCTAAATTCAAGAAATCTAATAAGTATTGCAGGATAACTGCTAACTTATTTTAAAATGGTTTTTTTTTTTATTTTTATTGGCTGGGGTTTGAACCCAGACACTTGTGCCATTTGTTCTACTACTGAGCTACTTCCTCACCTGTGAATGTGGCTAATTTTTATTCCTACAGACTCTAGACATTTTGTTTTCTGACCATCTGCATTTCCTGCTCCAAGAAACTTGTCCTGACTGCTGAGGACTTGGTTGGTCTTAAGTGAGTATTTTGATGGAATCAGTCCACCAGGGGGCACTCCAGGCTGCAGAAGGATGGATTTCAGAGGATTCCCAGAGGGTRAATAGTTAGAGACCAGAGGATATGAGCCAGTCATATCACAGACAAAAAGGGGGCAGCCTGTTCATCTCAGGCCTTCAGCCCTGCTGTTCTACATAAAATCTCAGAAGGCTGAAGACTGTATCTATACTTATTTGATCCCTTATTTGTAAACTCATTGGGAGTATAAGCACAGGTCAGGGAATTAAAATTTTACTTGTCATATGAGGATGGAGAAAATATCTTCAGTACCTGGTTTCAATTCTTTGCTTTATTACAGAAATTCTTAAAATATACTGATGTAAATTATTCCAATACTCTTGATACCAGTCGTGCTAGGCGAGCACTCTACTGCTGAGCCACAACTCCAGCCCTAGTCCATTTTTTTTATATTATCTC